CAGTATCACACAGGTGGTAAATGGTGGAGCCTGATTCAAAACCGCATGTGTTAGTGCAAAGCTCAGACACTATAACAAAGAGCCCGCAGATTTAATAACAGCAGCTAACTGATAGAGTGGACATGACATTCTAAATGTTTGATGATTGACCAGAGGCCCCAGTGCTTTACTCTGAAATTTATTGCAGTTTATGCTCCCATGGACTGCTTCTAGCCAATAACTGAGTGAGGCAGGAATACAAAGGCATATCCACCCAGCGAGACCCAGGACTCCACTGACGAAGCATCCAGGTTTGAGGACTCCAGAGTAGCCTTACCAAGCTCTACTTAGAGTGCACTGCACTCTCAGATGCTTCTCCACTGTTCCTTCCTTCATTCCTTTGTCCCCTGATTCATTCCTTCTCTCCCACCTTCTCCTTCCCTCCTTGCTTCCTTCCTTCTCTCCTCTTCTTGGCGTCACACCTTTGTCTTGGTCTGGTGGTTCTCCTAGCCTTTCCTGGTTCCTTCCCCATTTTCTTTCACCAATATTTCTTTTAAAAAATGTCTTGTATGTTCAATCACTTCTTGGGGTCTGCTTCACATAGGACCTAGACTAGCAAAACTAAAGCCATTTTCCAGAAGGTTAAGGAGGCTGGCACTAGTTACCAGAACTGGGCATTAATAACTACGTCTGTACAAGGTAGTATAGACCTTCATGGCCCCTCTTAGCTTCCACCTTCCATACTGAAGAGTTTTAATGTATTTTCATTTAATCTTCTGACAAAAATTGCTTCGTATTTGCTTATTTCAGGTGCTCTTTGCTGGAGAGCATCCCGTCCCAGTTTATGGTCTTTCTTGATCAGAACCAGAGGCAGGTGTTCCTGGTCCATGTGCACCATGATTTTCTGCAAAGTAAGAATTTGTTTTTTGGATCATCGTAATTAGAAGTGCATACTTGAGCACAACGAATTTCTCTTTGAAGTGTCTGAGATAAACTTAGATTTCTGCTGAGCATCATGGGGCTATGAGCTATCAGGACTTCAGAAATGTCCTGAAGGAGATAATAGGGTGAAAATTGGTATGAAGACGAAAAAGTTTGTATTTCTGTATTTGTGTGTGTATGGGTGTGTATAATTGGCTAAAGACATAGATGTCCCACTTTTTTAATATTTCTATAATACTACACTGTCCTCTCCTGAATTTGTGGCAAATTTTTCTTAAAGACTTCATAGTGAATGTCAACTGCAAGCTTCCACTTCCTGATTGGTTCCTAGGACAATCTGCAGGCTGTACGGGTGTAATGTGTAAGGTTCAGCACACCGAATTTCAGGTACAACTACAGACATTTCATGTAAAAGAAAACAGGAGGGAAATCTTACTGTTTCTCAATACTTATTAGTGTGAAAACAAGCTGCAATGTATATTTTTTATGGCAAAAGTCTGCGCTGTGCTCTCATCAACATGTAAACCTAATAGAATGAATGGTGAACCTGATTCATTTGAACATTCGTGTGTCAACGTGGCACTTGGGGAAAAATGACATCAGCATCTCCTACCAGCTGGAATTGTTCTGCCTCCCAATTCTGTACGTAGGGAAGTTTGTTTGGCTTACATTTGACCATGTATGGTGCAAATTACAGTAGCATCCTCTCAGGGGTATGAAGAATAAATGAGATAATCTATGTAAAATGCTCAGTAACATGCTAGATATTGGCATCAGTATGATCATGACCATCATCATCATCATCATCATCATTAAAAAACAGAGTTGCAAATCTTCCCTCTGCTAGAACTGCTAATGTGCGAAAAATCCACAAAGTGAAAAGCAGAAGCCAGCTGGTTGGCCCTCTTGGTAGGACAGCTGCATTTCTTTAACTTAAGCTGAGTCTGGTTCTCAGAATGAATGGCAAAAAATGCTCCAAATGGTGCCACTAAGGGCCACGAGTGCTGACTGAGCAGCAATAATGTGAAAGAAAAAAAAAAAAAGAAAGAAAAGTAGCCTCCAGTTTCCAAGGTCACAAAGTATTAGAAGTCTGGAAATTTCCCAGGGGCAGATCACATTGACCTCAGGGAGGAACCAAAGCGACTCCGTCTACCGTCAGCAGAGTGCTGCAGGTTTTCTGCGTGCAGTGTCCTACCAGGTGGGACTTCTGACTTGCTGGGATTTTCCAGCCTGATTCCAGTTACATTTGGAGCCTGAGGTGTTTAAATCTTAAAACATTTCTTACAAACAAATCAACACTATTTAGCTTGCTGAGTAAAGGGAAGGCAGCCACAATTTAGCTGTTTCAGGAGGAAAAGGGAGAATTTCCATGTAGGTCTCAGTGGGTTTGAAAAGCTTTTGATTTCATCAGAGAACAACAGTCAATGGGACAATGACTTAGGGCAACTGGGAGATGAGTGATTTAGAGATGCTTTCAAACTCTGGCGCACTCAGTGGGTCTCAATGGCTGTACTCAGGATGGTTTCAAAAGTCAGACTTGAAAATTGCCCATTTCTGTTCTCAGTTTATCCAATGCAAATGGGAGGAGAAAGAAAGAAAGAAGAAAACAGTTATGGGAAGAAAAATTGGACCTGATGATTAATCATGAATCACCAAAATGTAGGGAATGCTACCCTCGTTTACTCACTATGACCTGGTCTGAACTAAATACCTCGCAGTCACAATACAGAGGGCAAGGGAGGGCTGATGTTCCTGAACAGAAGAGGCAGGTGTTATGGGCTGAATCGTGGGCCCTCCACTAAGATGTTTTGGAATCCTAACTCCCAGTACCTAAGAATGTGACTATTTGGAAAAGAGTCTTTGCAGATGTAATCAAGTTAAAATGAGATCATTAGGGTGGGCTCTAATCTGATATGACTGATGTCCTTACAAAAAAAAGGGGAAATTTGGACAGAGACATGCAGACAGCGGGAGCACCATGTGCACATGAAGGCCGAGAGAAGGGTGATGCATCTACAAGCCAAAGAACACAAAGGATGGCCAGCAAGCCTCCAGAATCCAGGGAGAGGCATGGACCAGATTCTTCTTACCAGCCTTGGAAAGAGCCAACCCTGCTGACACCTTGGTATCAGGCTTTTGGGCCCCAGGACTGTGAGACAATACATTTCTACTGTTGAAGCCCCTCAGTTTGCAATATTTTGTTGCAGCCTCCTTGAGAACTGATACAACGGGTAATGTGATCACAGACCCAGGGTGACCCTTACTAGGCAGGGTACAAGCGGCAATGCAGAACATCTCCATGGAGCCTTTTCTATAGCCACAGCTGCTCTTAGAAACTGGCCCTATCATGGGCTACTTACGCAAGTACCCGAGGCAGCAGAAACGGCTCACTGAGTGCTGCAAAAACCAGGAGAGGGGCAGCACTGATGGGACCATGAGTCAAAACTGCAGAAGCACCCATTTCTCTTGTTTGGAAAACAATCTGTGGCCAAGATCTACCTGACAGAAAAGGGGGGCTTCCTGGGGAGCTACCCCCACGGTGGAAAAATAGGCATTTGGTTTCTTCCTACAGCTTCCCTGTTTCCTTTCCCCCGTCTTTCCAATTAGCGTAAACTGTTTATCGGGCTGGTCTGCTTATATCTGGGACTCTGGGGGATGTGCACGTTTGGGTTACTGTTCTCAAAATCCCTAAAATATGACTGGGAAACTAAGGCATAAGATACCCAGGGATTTTAATGACAAGTCAGGGGGTACTTAGAAGTTCAAAGTCAAAAAAGGCAGGTAATAGTGAGAATAGTGAGAACTAGGGGTAACAGCCCAGTGCTCCTTCCACGACCCTCTCTACGCTAGCTCCAGTGCCGTCCTGAAGAGTTGGGGTGATGGGGAAGGTTCTGGCCACGTTCATGACCTTAACGAGAATGTTTCCAAAGTTTTATCACTAAGTCTGATGCCCTATATAAGCTTACAGTAGCTGTCCTTTATTAGGGTTGGGGGGGTTCTTTCTATCAGTTTTCTCAGAGATAGCTTTGTACAAACATCAACCCATGAATCCAGTTGAACTTTATCAAGTGTCTATTTTAAAAATCTGAGATATTTCTCTGCTTCAATCCTTAATGGACTTAGTTATAGAATAGACTTTATGATAGTCACCATTCTTGCAGTCTTAGGAAAAGCCCAACAGGTTGTTATTTTTTTTCGGTGTGACGTGTGACAGGTTGTATTTTCCCAAAATGGCTTTGACAGATCTCAGTTTCACCTGTTCCTCCAACAGCGTGACTTCTTACTTCTTTCATTGATGGGTCGAGGTCATGGTCCCTCCCTGGGAATCCATATGTGCCTTGGCCGTGGTGGAAATGATACCATGGGACTTTGGAGGCTAGGTCATAAAGGACTGTGCAGCTTCTATCTGCTTCTCTAGAGCTATGTGCTCCCGGAACCCAGCCACCATGAGGCAAGCGAGCACCCCAAACCTGCAGACTCGTGTGGAGAGGGACTCTGATTTCTAGTCTACAGTCTACCTGAGACCCCAGCCAACATTCACTGCCAACATGGTGGCCACAAGTGTAAGCCGTCTTGAAAGCAGGTCAGCCTGCCCCAGCCAAGCCACCAACCTGATATGACACGGAGCAGGGGCAAGCCATGAATGCCACGCACGGCCCACACTGCAGATTTGTGAGCAGAATAAAGGATGGTAGTTTTTTGAAGCTGCTGAGTTTAGAGGAGGTTTGTTTAGGCAGCAATTGATAGCTGATAAGGGATAACTGAATCTATTTGCTAATATTTTCTTCGGGATTTTTGTGTCTACTTTCAGAAGGAAAATTGGCCTATATTTTCTTCCTTTTTTTTTTTCACACTGTCCTTATCTGCATTTCATATCAAAGTTATATAACCCTTAAAAAATGAGCTGGGATGTTTTTCTTCTTTTTCTAATCTCTGAAAGCATCTGAGTAAGATTGAAATTCTTTTTTCTTTAATGTTTCATTAGAAGAAGAGCAAACTAGTGTTAAAAACAGCAAGAGCTTGATGTATTCTGTTTCTTTGAAAGAAATTTTGTCTGCTGATCAGTTTATTGAAAGGTTAGGATCTATTCTGATTTCCTGTTATTTTTCAAGTTAGTTTTTGGGAATTTCCTAGTGAACTGTCCACATCCTTCAAGCTTTCAAAATATGAGTACACATTTCACTGTAACTGAATTTTGTTCCCTCATTCATTTATAATACTGTTTATTCTCTCTCTCTGACTCTCTGACGGACTTGCCAGAAGCATGTCTATTTGACTCAGCTTTTCAACAATCAGCTTTTCTTTACTCTTCATCTCTCTCACTTCTAATGAAAGCAGAAGGAAAACTACTTAAAAGGGTTTCCATTTTCATCAGAATCTGTTTTACCTTTTTCACTCTTTTCTTTATATTTTTTGTGCTTATGATTTCTCTCTTGCTCCTTTTCATGCACTCTTTGAGTTGAAACTATAGCCTATTATTTGCAGGCTATTGTTCCTCAAATGTTCACTTTAGAAGCAAAGCAGAAGTTTGATAAGAAGTGCTTATCATTCAGTTTCAAATATTGACAAATTTCCCTTTAACTAAGATGGCCACGTCATACAGCAACCAAACTGGGACACCTTTGATAGTGAGTGACAGAAAGTGGTATTAATAATTACACCAGGATGACGGACATCAACTGGGTCTTGCCCATACAAATTCAGATGTATGAACACCCACGAATTATTTGGAAAAAAATGTGTTTTGGTTTTCAGGTGTGTGTATGTGTGAAAAGCAAATAACTCCATTGATTTCTACTATAATTATACCACTGGGGTCAGAAAATCTAGTCTACATGACACAATTTGAAATTCTCTGAAACTTCTTTTGTGGTCTAGTGAATGGTCACATTTTTACAAACATTCCATCTGTGCTTGGAAACAATCTGTTCTTTAGGTTTACTGTTTCTCACAGATCACATACATTAATCATATTATTCAAATTTTCCATATTCTTCATACATATTGGTCTACTTGATTTATCCTTTTCTGATAGAGGTGGTCCAAATCCCCTGCTATCATTGTGAAGTTTGAATTTTTCCTCATGATTTGTCAGTTTTTGTGCTGGATATCCAAAGTCTATGTTATTAGTTGCTTATAGGTTAATATTGGTATAGCATCTTGGTGGATTCTTTCCTTTATCCTTCAAAAAATCTTTTTACATTTTTATTAATTTTTAATTTTGTACACTTTAACAACTTCTTTTTTTTTGATTGCCTGGCATATCTTTTCCATTCTATTCCTACATTTCAGGCTTTCTGTATGTGTCTGTTAGGTGCACTTTGGAAAAGCCACGTAGCTGGACTAAACCAGCAGCCACGACAACAAAACAAAACAGAACAAAACACTTCCAACCTGAGAGAATCTCCTTTTTAAACACGTAATTAAGTCTGTTTACATTTGCTGTAATCACCAACTTATTTTTCTTTAATTCTTTTATTTTGTGCTTTTTATTTTTCATGCTTGCTCTTTGCTTCACTGAGTCCCTCTTTTTCTCGCCTGCTATTGAATTGATAGTGTTGTCCTTACTCCCTTTTCCCTTTACTAGTTTGGAAATTATATTCTACTAAAGAAATAACCTTAAAATTTAAACATCAATACTAAATAGAGCCTAAGTTCCATCAATATCTACCTCTTTTTTTTCTTATGAAATTGAAAAGGGCTAACTTCATATCCTGACCTCCTTTTCTTTCTTTTGTCAAATATCTTATTGCCACCTTGGTTGAAAATTCCCCTGAAGTTAATTGCCGTTAAACAGGGAGGGAGGCATTGTATCCAGCATTTCTGTGTATTCAGAGCAGAGTAGAGGCTTTTTACATTAGTTCAGTCCACCACATGGACTAGAGTGCCTGATTCAGTAAGTTGGACAAATCACATACCTTCTCTGGGTTCCCATTTCTCCTGGCACCTGCGAGAGGCTTTGGAGATCATCAAGAAAAGGGGCTCCCTCATTTTGTCTAAGACTCTAGGAACTGAAAACTGCAGAAAATGTACACTATGATATTCAGTAGGAAAAGAAATCACCAAGGCTTGAGGGATCCAGGCAGGCTGTTGCAGGAACAAACATCTTAGTCCTAGAAGAATGGGCAGAAAATTTCTTAAGCACAATAATGATCAAACTGGGAATTTTAGTAAGATCAATGAACAGCAGTTTACTAAAAGCTCTGTGAAGTAGGGGAGGTTACTCTTCACAGATAGGGAAACTCCATAGGACACTGTTTTATTAGAGTCGGAGTGAGGGGCTGAGGGCCTGACCTAGGAAGGTGGCTGGAATTAGGGAGGGAAGAGCTGAGTAGGAGATAAGAAGGAAAAGTTAGAGTAAGTGGGTGTAATTACGTATCAGGAGAAAGAAGGGAGGCCAGTGCTGACTTCAAGGATTCCAATTGAGGGGCAAGGAGACAATATTTATTGGGTCTTACGTGCAAATTCAGGATTTTCAAGTAGGTACATATTTTTGAAGATGCTGCATTCTATGGAGCATGGAAGGGACCAGGACCTCTGTTGAGAGGCAGCAGCAGTGAGCACTAGAAGCCTCATCTGTGACACTAGGCTTAAAGTCAACTTGTGTTGTCCTGGCTGCTAATTCATTCATTTAAGGGATGGCAAATCACTACTGGAAAAGTCATGGGTCTGAAGCCCAGCTTGGGCTGCCTGTCCAGGGTCAGAGTAAAGGCTGGGTGGCTCCAAGAAGGCCTGGCTGAGGGAGAGGCCAGCCTCCAGAGGAGCAGGGGTGGGGTGGGGGGTGGGGGGGTGACTGCTGGACCCTGCACAGCAGGTGCTGGTGCGGAGTGAGAAGCTGGGTAAGCGCTTTTCCTGCAGGCGGTTGTACCTGTGCGAAAAGAAAGGCAGGAAGGGACTGTGTCCGAGGTCTCAAAAAAGGGTTCTGTCAAGGGGGCAGGATTTCAGGTGTCTTTTCCTATTTCTCCATTATATTCTTCCTTTATTGTTTCAATTATTTACAATAAGAACCTATAATTTAAATATTCAAAAATATAGTCATTTTCATCGTGGGGTCAAGCTACTGTTTCCAAGCACTGCCTGCTGTACTTCAGCCTTGATTGGCATTATCTACTCTAACTAGCCTCATGCAGCTGTCGGGTCTCATTATCCCGATTTTATGAGTAAGAACAGAGGCTCAGAGGCTAGGGAACTTGCCCAGGGCCAGTGGAGGCAGAGCGGGGTCTCACAGGTCCCCACCGCTGGTTCTTTGTGGTCTTACAAGCACGCATGGGAGTCCAGGGCACCAGCAACCGTGGGTCCCTCTCACCTGGGCGTTTAGGGCTGCTGGGGAGGGGCCGAGCTGACGTAGGCCCCGCCCCGCCCCGCCCTGAAGCCCCGCCCCCGCACCAGGCCCCGC